CCACCAGGAGTGATTCCTGCGTGCAGAGCCAGGAGTCAGCCCCTGAGCACTGCTGGGTGGGGCTTCAAAACAAACTAAACAAACGAACAAAGGAAATCCCAGGATAGCCGGGCATGAAGTTCAAAATCTGCCATCCAATCTGTCACACACTAGAAACATGGGGATAACATCAAAGAAATGTAGGAAACAGGGAGGGGTGGGCTGGGGGCTGCTCCTGAGCCCCACGCCGTGTAGGACACTGACCCAGTTCTCCCCACGCCCCAGGAGCCCGGCAGGAGCAGCTGGACACCATCTCCTGGGCTTCCCTCCAGCACTGGGGACTGAGCCCTGGGCTGTCTCACGCAGATGCCTGACCACTGAGCCACATTTCCAGCCCCTGGGAGGCTTCTATGGGTACTGCACAGGAGAGTAGGAGCTCTCGGAATTATTATTATTACTGGGGTAGGAGTGGGCTGACTATACTTAGCAGTGCTCAGGGGACTGTGTGTGTGGTGCCAGGGGTCAAACCTGGGTGGACGGCATGCAAGGCCAGCAGCTTAACCCCTTACTCTCTCTCCAGCACTGCCACTGTCACTGTCCTCCCGTTGTTCATCGATTTGCTCGAGCGGGCCCAGCAATGTCTCCACTGTGAGACTTGTTGTTACTGTGTCTGGCATATTGAATACATCTCCAGCACTATCTGTGTTATTTTTTTCCAACGGGCAGGGGAAGGGGCCTCACCCAACCGTGCTCAGGGCTTGCTCTGCACTCGGGGATGACTCCTGGCGGTGCTCAGGGGTGCCCGGGATGGAACCCGGTTGGCTGCCAACAAGGCAAGCACCTAATCCGTCGTACTCTCTCCGGTCCACAACTCCTTTACAGGTTCAGGATCTTTGCAGCCTAGAGGCTGACGAAGGACAGCACTGGGTGCCCGGGGTCTGCAGGTCCCTGCCATCTCCGGGTGACGGGACAGCTGGGTACTTCCGGGACCCAGAGGCCTCTCCACCAGGGATCTCCGTGCCCAGCCCTCTCGGGTCAGTGAGTGTCCGAGCGGAGGGGGGACATGCCCCACGGAGTGAGCGAGGGGGCACGAGCGCTCACCCTCTCCCCCGTGCCCACGTGGGCACGGTGACACCCCCATTCCTACCACCCGACCCAGTCCGGTCCCGGCAAATCTCTGCTCAGAGGTGAGTCGCACTGCACTGCGGGATGAGCACAGGCAAGACAGGAGGCAACTGATTGAATTTCCGCCAAGGACGCGGATGACTGGGCTGAAACAGCGCCATTGAGAAACCGCCAGTGCTGGGGCGGGAAGGCAGCACGGCGGGGAGGGCGCTGATCGTGCACGCGGCTGGCTCGGGTTCGATCCCCGGCACCCCAGAGGGTCCCCCGAGCCCCACCAGAAGGGGTCCCTGAGTGCAGAGCCAGGAGGAAGGAGGAAACCCTGAGCACAGCCAGGTGTGGCCCAAGGCGAACAGACCACAGGGAGACTGTCAGTGTCTTCAGGAAACCTGGAAAGCCCAGGAACAAGCAGGATGAACATTCAGTAGCATTCAGCGTTCCTGCACGTTTCAAGGAAACGACAGCGGAACAAGAACAGGTGGGGGGCCGGAGCGACAGCACAGTGGGGAGGGCGTCTGCCCTGCGAGCGGCCAACATGAGTTCGACCCCCGGCCTCCCCAGGCATCCCCTGTGGTCCCCAAAATCCAGCAGGAATAATTCCCGAGTGCAGAGCCAGGCGTAAGCCCTGAGCATTGCTGGGTGTCACCCCCCCAAAAAACAAAAACAACAGAAGGAAGAGCAGTGGGCTGCGGGGTGTCAGCCGATGAAAAGCGCCCCCCTCGCCCCAATATTCTCCGCGGCACCCTTCACGACAGCCCAGATGCAGAAGCACCCCTATCGCACTCCGCAGAGAACATACGCAGGTGGGAGGCCTGGTTTGGTCCCCAGACCGCGGGGGTCTCCCAAGCACCAAGGCCCCTCACCCAGCAGGCACAGAGCTAGGAGAAGCCCCCCGACGCCCAGGCATGAGGCGCGTGCCTCGTACGTGGCTGCCCCCCCCCCCCCGTCAGGTCGAGCCTGCACCCACCCCCCCAGCACTGGCAAGAAAGCCCTGAGCACGGCGCCACGGGCAAGCAGGTGTGGCCCCAACCAACACCAGGCAAACGCAAGGAACTGCACACGGCCTCGGCAGAACGGACCCTTCCCTTCACTCAGTGGGAAGGGCCGAGTGAGGCGGAAGGGAACGACGCCACGGGAGACCTCGCGGTGGGGGCGTGGGGCAAGGAACCACAGCAGGGCGCGGAGGCAGAGGGAAGCCTCGCTCCAGACTGCCGCGCTGGGGAGGTGGCGGGCTGGGGGGTGGCGATGGTGGAAGTGGGGACAGGGGAGTAACAGCCTGAAACTGAAATCGTATTCCTAAGACATATGGGGGGGGGGGGGGCGGGGCGCAGAGAGAGTCCAGGGGTAGGACGTTTGCTCTCAATGTGAATGATCCGGCTTGGGTCTCTGGCGGCCCACACAGTCCCCGGACACGGCCAGAAGGGATCCCTGAGCACCAAAAACAAATAATATAGTACATACACACACACACACACACACACACACACACACACACACACGGGCTGGAGCAATAGCACAGCGGGTAGGGCATTTGCCTCGCACGCAGCCAACCTGGGTTCGATTCCTCCGCCCCCTCTCAGAGAGCCCGGCAAGCTACCGACAGTATCCCGCCCGCACGGCAGAGCCTGGCACGCTCCCCGTGGCATAGTCGATATGCCAAAAACAGTAACAACAAGCCTCACAATAGAGACGTTACTGGTGCCCGCTTGAGCAAACTGATGAACAACGGGAGGACCGTGATACAGTGCTATACACACATACACACACACACACACACACACACACACACACAGTCTTAAAAGTCAACATTACTTCAATGAGAAAACAAAATTGAGGGGTTTTTTTTTGGGGGGGGGACGGGAGGAATAGCCAGTGGAGCTCAGGAATTACTCCTGATGGGGCTTGGGGAACCCTCTGGGGTGCCAGGGATTGAGCCCAGATCAGCCACATGCTGGGCAAGTACCCTCCCCACAGTACTACCTCTCCATCCCCCAATAAAAATGTTCTGGGAGGGAAAGGATTCTCTCTACACTGGCACACATCTCTCAAGCAGATGCCTGGGATCTTTCTAGAAGGCTACGCCAAGTAGTGGGAAGGAGAACTGAAGGTCTAGATAGGTTTTGTTGGAAGTCTTCAGTGTTTTTTCTCTGTTTTTTGCCTTGGATGTTGGAGGGCCACACCCAGCGGGGCTCAGGGGTCCCTCCTGGTGGTACTTGGGGACCACCGTGGTGCTGGGGCCTGAAGCCAGGCAAGGCAAGTGGCCAAACCATCCTCTGGCCCTGAGCCTAGTCTTCACGATCCTGTGCCCTCTCTGGGCCTGCTGTTCTGGTATTATTTGAACTGATCGCCGTGCGTATCACCAGTTTCAGCTCGACAACTTTGATCTTGTCCTAATCCTGGGCCCAGAGAGAGTGCAGAGGGCAAGGTGCTTGGGGCACCTTGAATCTGGTTCCATCCCAGCACCGCACGGGGTCCCCAAGGACAGCCAGGACTGAGCCCTGAGCACAGCTAAGAGTGGTCCCTCATGGGGTTGGAGCGATAGCACAGCGGGGAGGGCAATGGACCCAGGTTCGATTCCCAGCATCCCATATGGTCCCCCAAGCACCACCAGCAGTAACTCCTGAGTGCATGAGCCAGGAGTAACCCCTGAGCATCGCAGGGTGTGACCCAAAAAGCAAAAAAAAAAAAAAAGTGGTCCCTAAAACTCAAAATAAATAATAAAAGTATTCCTCCCTCCCCCCCCCCAAAAAAAAGAGAAAGTCCATCCATTAAAGATGGTATAGAAGGACTTAAGAAAAAAGTCTTGGGGCTGGAGCGATAGCACAGCGGGTAGGGCGTTTGCCTTGCACGCGGCCGACCCGGGTTCGACTCCCAGCATCCCATATGGTCCCCCGAGCACCGCCAGGAGTAAGTCCTGAGTGCAGAGCCAGGAGCGACCCCTGAGCATCGCCGGGTGTGACCCAAAAAGCAAAAAAAAATAAAAGAAAGTCTTGGTCACGTGCGAATGTTTACAGCAAGTTAACTCCTTGGAACAGCCCTGAAACCGCAGCGCAGCAGCACGATGTTTGGGGGGCGCAACGCGGGATGCTGGGTGGGGGGCGGGGACTCGCCTGCAGGCTCTGTGCTGTGGGGCGGGCGGGGGGGCACTCCCGGGGTCCCCCGAGCCGTGTCCCCATCAACTCCCCATCAGCGGGGCGGGGCGGGGCGGGACGGGTCCGAGCAGCGCCAGGCGGCCCGGCGGCGCGGTGGTCTGGGTGGGCCCCTCGGCAGGCAGAGGGTGGTCGCGTGCTCCGCAGCAGCGGGTCCGGGCGCGGGGCCGGGCCGCCCCCCACCCCCAGCCCCAGCCCCAGCCCCGCAGCCCCCGGCGAGCAGCAGGTCGCGCCGCGCCGACCCACGCGGCCGCGGCGGGGACTCGGCCCGCGGTGCTCGGGGGCCGGGGCCGGGAGCTGAGTGACAGCTGCGGGGGTCCGGGCCGGGGGCCGCGGTCCGGCTGGTCTCGCCGGCGGCCCGCGGGCTCTGACGCAACCGCTGCCCCGCGCGGTTCCGAAAGGAGGGCAGAGGCGAACCGGGCCGGGCAGTCCGGGCCGGCGGCGCGGGGCCTGGGCAGCGTCCGGCCCCGGCCGGCGACTGCGGCGACGGGGCCGGGGCGCGGGGTCCGGCCAGCCCCCCCCCCCGCCCCGAGCCCCCCACCCCGGGCGCCGGACGCGGCCGTTGCGGCGGGGCGCGGGGCCCGGCCCGGCCGGCCCCTCCCCCCGCCCCGCCCGCCGCCCGGCCCGCGCCCGGGCTGGGGGTCCCGGCGGGGCCCGGGGCGGGGCCGGCGGCGCGGGCGGGGCGGGCGGGGCCGGCGCGCAGCCCCCGCCCGGCGCCCCCCGCCCCGAGGGCCGGTCCCGCTCCCGTACCTGGCTCGGCTGCTCGGCCTGCTCCGAGGACGCCATCTTCGCCAGGCCCGGCCAGTCCATCGCCGCGCGGCTCGGCCGAGGCCCGCGCGCCCGCCCGCCCGCCCGCCCGCCAGGCCGGAGCAGCCGCGGCCGAGCGCGTCGATCGGGGGCGGGGCGGGGCGGGGCGAGGGGCGGGGACGCGCGGAGCGGGGCGGGAGCGCGCGGGGCCGAAACGGGGGCGCGCGGGGCGAGAACGGGAGCGCGCGGGGTGGGAATGGGGATACGCGGGGCTGGGCGGGCGCGCGCGGAGCGAGAACGGGGGCGCGCGGGGCAGGAACGGGGACGCGCGGGGCGGAACGGGAGCGCGCGGTGTGGGAATGGGGGCAAGCGGGGCGGGACGGGGACGCGCGGGGCTGGGCGGGAGCGCGCGGGCGGAAACGGGGGCGCGCGGGGCGAGAACGGGAGCGCGCGGGGTGGGAATGGGGATACGCGGGGCTGGGCGGGCGCGCGCGGAGCGAGAACGGGGGCGCGCGGGGCAGGAACGGGGACACGCGGGGCGGAACGGGAGCGCGCGGGGTGGGAATGGGGGCAAGCGGGGCGGGACGGGGACGCGCGGAGCTGGGCGGGAGCGCGCGGGCGGAAACGGGGGGCGCGCAGAGCGAGAAGGGGGCGCGCGGAGCGGGAACGGGAGCGCGCGGGGCGGAAACGGGGGCGCGCAGAGCGAGAACGGGGGCGAGCGGAGCGAGAACGGGAGCGCGCGGGGTGGGAATGGGGGGGCGGGACGGGGACGCGCGGGGCTGGGCGGGAGCGCGCGGGGCGGAAACGGGGGCGCGCAGAGCGAGAAGGGGGCGCGCGGAGCGGGAACGGGAGCGCGCGGGGCGGAAACGGGGGCTCGCGCGGTGCGAGAACGGGGACGCGCGGGGCTGGGCGGGAGCGCGCGGGGCGGAAACGGGGGCGCGCAGAGCGAGGACGGGAGCACCCGGTACTGAAACAGGGGCGCACAGAGCGAGAACGGGGGCGCGCGGGGCGGGACGGGGATGCGCGGGGCTGGGCGGGAGCGCGCGGGGCGGAAACGGGGCGCGCAGAGCGAGAAGGGGGGCGCGCGGGGCTGGGCGGGAGCGCGCGGGGTGGAAACGGGGGCGCGCAGAGCGAGAACGGGGGCGCGCGGAGCGAGAACGGGAGCGCGCGGGGCGGAACGGGAGCGCGCGGGGTGGGAACGGGGGCGCGCGGGGCGGGACGGGGACGCGTGGGGCTGGGCGGGAGAGCGCGGGGCGGAAACGGGGGCGCGCAGAGCGAGGACGGGGGGCGCGCGGGGCGGGACAGGGGCGCGCGGGGCGGGGCGCGCGGACCGGCTGGGACCCGGTCCTCGCAGGTCTCCCTCTGGCCTCTGCCCCCCAAGGGGAGCCGGTGGGCCGGGTGGCATTGAGTGCAGAGCTCTGCCCACCCTCACAGTACCCGGGGCACCGCACAATTCTGAGTGAAGAAACATGAAAATGAGTAAGTTTGGGTACAGAGCAGGACGTTGAGGGACTACTGGTTTGCCAGGAACACTGATAGGCGAGTAGAAATGAAAAGATCCAGGACTCTTAAAGTATCTCTCCCTCTCTCTCTCTCTCTCTCTATATATATATATATGAATAAAATAAAATAGTTTATGCACATTAAAAAAATAAAAACTTAAATTTTATTTAAAAAAGAAAGATCCAGGACTCAATGCCTGCTGCCCAAGCAGACAGACAGACAGACACACACACACACACACACACACACACACACACCATCACAGGCATAAAACTATTGGGGTCCAGAATTATTGGGGTTGCAGGGAGTCGGAGCTTAGGTGAACATCATTACTTTGTACCATGGAGTTGTTAGATTTTTTTATAACTATGAAATTCCACTGAAGAACTGGTTAGATCCTGGGGCCAGAGACATAGTTCAGAGGGTAGGTGCTGGCCTTTCTCACGGCTGACCCAGGGTCCATCCCCGCCACCCTCACGTGGTCCTCCGAGTGATCCCTGAGCACAGAGCCTGGAGTGAGACCTGAACACCAACGGGTGTGGGAAGAAGGAGACTCCTAAGGGTTGCTTCAATGAGCACTCTCTCCTACCAAACGCGACTTTAATTGTCTGCACTTTTCTTAAGTAGGGATAATCTGATTTCTTTCCGAAACAAGAGAGGATTGTCCCTGAGTGAATATAACTGCTATTTCTTGTTTGCATAAAATCCCTGCTTTTAAATGAAGAGCCAATTTGGTTCTTTTCTTATTTTGATCCTAGATGTTAGGTTTTGTTGATTGGCTCCGGTTTTGGTTTTGGGCGGCGGGAGGTCACACTTTTCCCAAGGAGCAGTATAAGAAGAAGGACAGATATAGGGTCAGCAGCATCTGGACAGTCTCAGTGATGTGGTTGGTGTCCCCCACCCCCTCCCCGCCCTTTCTCATGATTTGAGGGCTTAATGTGTAATCTACTTATCGGAGCTTTTTTCCTGAGGTTCCCCCCCACCACACACACACACACACACAGCTGAAACACGGAATCCAGGAGTGGAAACGTGCCCTTATCTAATGCTTCTTTGTGTGCAAGACTGGAAACGGCTCTCATCAATATTTTTAATTGACCTCCTTCCAATTAGTCTGAAGGTTAGGATATCTTACTCAGTTTGGAATGGGAAAATCAATGAACACAGGGCAGCGACAGTTTTATTTCAGTATCGAAATTGAGCGTCTTCTGTAACAGGCGTGCTCTAACAACTCAAAGGACAATGCACGCGTGGCCTTTGGAACTCAAAGCAACTCCCTAGAATTTTATTTTATTTATTTATTTATTTTTTGCTTTTTGGGTCACACCCGGCAATGCACAGAGTTTACTCCTGGCTTCACACTCAGGAATTACCCCTGGCAGTGCTCAGGGGACCATATGGGATGCTGGGAATCGAACTCGGGTCGGCCGCGTGCAAGGCAAACGCCCTACCCGCTGTGCTATCGCTCCAGCCCCGAGAATTTCATTTTTTAAGAGGATTGACGTCCTAAACATAAGCCAAGAAAGAAAGAAGGAGACACATACGCCTGAGCAGACGGCCCAAAGCGGTTGGAGCACCCGAGGCTTGGATCTGACCCTGGTCCCGGCTCCATCCTCCTTCCTGCACCTGCCCCGGAGCACCTCTGGGGGGAGCAGCCGCCAGACGGTCGGGGAGCGGGCCTGGAGCCCAGAAACTACAACTCCCGGCAGGCTCTGCGGGGCCCCACGTGACCGACAGCCGGCAGAACTACGTCTCCCAGGCGCCTCGGCCGCGCGCGCGGAGAACTACGTCTCCCGGCATGCCGTGCGCGGAGGCTCGCGCTCGACTTTCCGGACTGGGTCGCGTCCCACCCGGGAGAGGATGGAGGCGGCGGGGGACGCCGGGACCCCCGAGGCCGGCGAGCTGCGGCCGCTGAAGCCGTGTCTGCTGCTTCGCAACCACAGCCGCGAGCAGCACGGCGTGGCGGCCTCGTGCCTGGAGGAGCTGAAGAGCAAGGGTTGGCGGGGCGGGGCTGGGGAGGGGGCTGGGGCGGGGTCGGGGTCGGGGCGCGGGGTCGGGGCTGAGGTCTAGGTCGGAGTCGGGCGCGGGGCGCGGGGTCCGGGGCTCGGGGTCAGGGTGCAGCGGGGTCTAGGCTCGTGGTCGGGGTCGGGGTTCAGCGGGGTCTAGGCGCGGGGTCGGGGTCGGGGTGCAGCGGGGTCTAGGCGCGGGGTCGGGGTCGGGGTGCAGCGGGGTCTAGGCGCGGGGTCGGGGTGCAGCGGGGTCTAGGCGTGGGGTCGGGGTCGGGGTGCAGCGGGGTCGGGGTGCAGCGGGGTCTAGGCGCGGGGTCGGGGTCAGGGTGCAGCGGGGTCTAGGCACGGGGTCGGGGTCAGGGTGCAGCGGGGTCTAGGCTCGTGGTCGGGGTCGGGGTTCAGCGGGGTCTAGGTGCGGGGTCAGGGGTCAGGGTTCAGCGGGGTCTAGGTGCGGGGTCGGGGTCGGGGTTCAGCGGGGTCTAGGCGCGGGGTCGGGGTCGGGGTGCAGCGGGGTCGGGGTGCAGCGGGGTCTAGGTGCGGGGTCGGGGTGCAGCGGGGTGTAGGCGCTGGGTCGGAGCGCGGGGGGTCGGGGGTCAGGGTCAGGGTCAGGGTCAGGGTGCAGCGGGATCGAGATGCTGGCGCGGGGTCAGCGTCTGGGCTTTGGCCGGGGGCTCGGCTGGGCGGCGCAGGAGACGCGCCCGAGGCTGCTGGACGCGCGTGGAGGTGGGGGCAGCGCTGACCGGTGGGCAGAGCGATCTGCAGTTCCTTGTTCTTCCTTTCCGGAGAGCCGGGAAGGGACCCTTCCCTGCAGGGGGGCCCGGCCTGCCACTCCAGGGATCCGGCGCCCCCCGCCCCCCAGCCCGGCTGGGGGGAGCTGGGGGAGCCCCGCTGTGAGGGCTGGGCAGCCACAGGGGCCTAGGGACCCGAGGTGGGGAGTCACCAAGGCGCCTTCTGAGCCCCGCCCATACCTGTGGGTTCTGCAGCTAGTGGCTTGGGGTTGGAGCTCGGGACAGGCTGGAGCCAGTATTTGTGTGCAGGGCCCCCTGATCACCATAGGGCACCACCAGCAGGGATCTCCCCCTACCCCAAGAAATTTCTTTTTTTTTTCTTTTTGGGTCACATCCAGCGATGCTCAGGGGTTATTCCTGGCTCTGCACTCAGGAATTACTCCTGGCGGTGCTTGGGGGAACCATATGGGATGCCGGGAATCGAACCCAGGTCGGCCGCGTGCAAGGCAAACGCCCTACCTGCTGTGCTATCTCTCCAACCCCAGAAATTTCTTTTTTAAGTCTTTTAAGAAACGATTAAAAGAGGAGAGAGAGAGAGAGCGAGCTGGGGCCCCAGAGATAGTACCGAGGTGAAGCACTTGCTTTGATGCCACAGACCCGGCTTCCATCCCCAGCACCCCAGGTGGCTGGCTCCCCAGAGCACCTCCAGGAGTGATCCCAGAGCAGCGCCGGAGGTAGCCCAGAATTTGAAAAGAAAAAAAAATTTTTTTAAAGGGGAGAGAGAAAAGGCCCCGCGTTTAAAGAGAACGAGGATAACCCCAGGACAAGGCCAGAGTCTCACAGAGTCCGCGATCGAAAGCAATGAATC